GAAGTTTATGTTTTAGAGGGCAGTACATTGCACTGTACCTTAAGGATAACTTTTAAATTGAATATTTCTGTTAAATGCACAGAAAATGCTGACAAACTGGATTTGGGACTCAAAGCAGCAGTCAGAGTATGTTTTTGTCAGTCTGGATCAGACTGCTGCAGAGAGCAGACTCAACGGGGCATCTTTTGGGGAAACAGAAGTGGGAAAACAGATTCAACCCCTGATGTTCTCCTCTGACATCCATCCACCACAACCCCACGGGAAACCCAGAAGCCCCCTCCTCCTCCTCTCCTCCCTCTCCTCCTTGTCTCCTCTCCTCCAGCCAAACACCCAGCTGGAGAGTCATAAGGTCCCCCAGCTGATTTAATCCCCAGTTCAGGTCACATAAACACAGAACAGTTGGAAAACAACCACTAGACAATGACATGAATGTGTTGAGCACTGTTATAAGACTTAAGTTACTTTTTTTTTGGTAAAGAAATTGCGCTAATCCTCAAGAAGGAACCACAAAAAGTCAATGACAATAAAGGTCCCACCGCTTATTTCCTTCTTTCACCTCTGACACTGCTCCTACATACTACTATAACGAGAAAACAGTCTCAGTGACATCACTCACATGTTCGATTGTACTTTAGAGAAAAGCTTTATTGAACTGGTGTGTATGAGGCTTATACGGCCTTTGGAAACAGCCTCAAGTGGATGCTTAAGGAACTGCAGCGTTGAGCAGAGTTTCAAGAGTGTCCAACGCATCCATTCAAATATTCCTTAAAGTAGCAGCTACAACCGGAGAAAATATTGTTTTGTATTCTGATGAAACAAATGAAAGACACTGATGTACTAAAACGTTCACCACAGACTCAGAACCTAAAGCTGAAGTCAGTCTGCAGGGTTGATATAGAGTTTCATAACACAGAACAGTATTGCATATGTCCTGCATTAAGGCTAAGACTGAACCACGCTCACTTTCCTGTCAGCCAAACTTACAGTAACTCAAACAATGTACAGACCTTTGCAAAACAACTGTAAGGGATTATGTAACAGGTTCCTGCTCACGCAATTCCATAACACAGGGCAGAATAATGATGTCAAGACAGAGATGACAGAGATATGGTGGTGCAGAAGAAGAGAAAATAATGGAAAACAGAGAAAATAAATAGAAGATTGGGAACAGAAAGCCAATAATAGATGTAAATACAGTGAGTGAGTTTGAGGAAAAAGTTGGAATGTGAAAAGTGAGAAAAACAAGAGAAAACTAAGGATAGAAGAGAGACTGTACTCACACTGGAACTTACACATACATGTTTGATTACGTCTTTGGGAAGATTCAAATAAAACCCTTAAGTACTCATGTGGTTATATGCTATAAAATACAAACTGGACAGTTTGTCCAAATAGAATGAAAAAACAAGCAAGACGGAAAGAATAAAGGGAAAAGAGTGAAAGACCATTAGTTTGTGTGTTTAAAGATCATTTTTGGAGTATTTTATGTATCTGTCAGGCAGTAAAAGTATCTCATGGTGAAAGCAGTACCTGATATCACTGAAACCTGTGATGTAATCTGTGAGGCTGAGGCTGATGTGGACTCACTGTACCTGAACCAGGTGAAACACTGGAATGCCGCGGGCACAGAAGGACTATTATGGTTCCTATCTGATCTGATATCAGTAACCAAATAAAAAAAACAGACAGCCTGTTGGCTTGGTAGAGGAATGAAGACAAACAGTCAAACTTAGTGACCTGCAGTAAGGACACAGAGTGTCTGACTGTTGAGCTCGGGGTGGATTAGCTGACAGAACCTCCTCTAAACAAAACTTCTCAGGGTTGTGGTGGCAACTTTGCATGTTTTTTTTTTTTTACTGTAAGACTTTATCTAATGGCTGAAATACCTGATTTCCATGACCCCATGTGCAGAGCTAACTTCTGTGTAGTTACTCCACCCAGCCTCTCAAACAGGGGCCTTACTAACAAGAATTTGATGCATTCAGTACTCAGTACTTTTGATGAGTATTTAATGTAATAGAAAACAGAATAATCCTTTTCAGTCCTGCAGGGCAGCAACACGCCTAAAAAAACTGTAATAATTATGATGATGCACATTATATGCAATAAAAGATTTACTGGTAGGTTGACTGGGATACATTTAACACTAGTAAAAACGCATGCAACTGGATCCATACCTCGCTTTACTTGTACTAGACGTCAAATAAGAATGGTAAAAAAAAGTGAAACCAAAAATTGTAGACATGCGATCTGGTTTGGACCACAAAGACTGTTGGTTTTGCTTATTTTTCAGGAAATCAGCAATTTCTAAAACGAAAGTTGTGCCAGTATAGTTCTGCAAAATGTATGAGTACTATGCAGGAGTCACATGCATATGGTTGAATACTTTAAAAGCTTTCTTTACTCTTTAATCTACATACTTTAAAGACCATGGGGCTCCACTTGTTAAACTTTCTGGTCTTTGTAATTTGTAGTGCTCATTTGTTGACATCATTTGTAAACAAAGCACTAACTTGGTTACACACTGTTGGCACATGATTTCAACCCCAGGGGAGCTGAAGAAAGGCAAGACAATTAGGAGAGCACACAAGCGCACAGTCCTTTGATTTTCCTCTAAATAACGTGCAGTTGTACTGAGCAATGCTCACAAAGCAACGAGTTTGCATGTCAGGCAACTACTACACAATCACATGTGCAGTAAACAACGAAATAAATAAGGCAGATAGCGGAACAACTGCTCGACAACTGAATATTTCAAACACGCTCTCACACAAGAACACACTCAATAACAACACCCACCCACACAGGCTTCCTCTGTGCAGCACCAGCTGTGTTGAGGCTCAAGACATTTAAGTGTAGAAACATATGGAGGATGTGCGTGCCTGACTCTGTGCCAGTGTGTGGGTGTGTGTGTGTGTGTGTGTGTGGGAGGGCTGCCTTTCTGCATGTTTTTTGCTTGTTTTGACAGGTCTCTTTCTGTGCTCATCTATGTTTTCAAACTGTGTTGGGCAAGCGAGCATTTAACGTGCAAAAAGCTGTTGTTTCACAGTCTGCTTGTCAGAAACTTGCCTGTTGAAATCCCTGGTCAGGGCAGTTTAAGTGAGTTGTGAAAGTTGGTGCATGCATATACCATGTAAATGCATGTGCATGGTAAGACTGATAAAAGACAACAAAATAGCTTCAACATAAGAAAAAGGAGTGTTGCAATAGTAAAGAGAGTAAAAAAGCAAGCAGTGTGTTCATTCTGCTGCTAAATCCAAACCAGTGTGTGTGTGTGTGCGTGGATTAGCAAACCTCCCCTGCAGAAATTCTTCTTCTAGCCCTGTAACAACAAACCAAAGTTGCTTACTAATGACACTTGCCTGCAGCAACTTGAAACAAAAAACTGCGCTGACCTTTGACCCATGCACTGAAGGCTCTAGACAATAGCTGTGTCACAAGAAATCAGAAAAACAGATTGTCAAATGACTTTAAAAAGCTTTTTGTCTTCAGGATCTCAGCATATAGAACCTGATGATGACTGACTTCACATCCATCAAAGTGTTCAAGAATAAAGTTTGTGTGAAGTTTGCAGACTTAAAAGAAAGAGTTAAATTAAAGCATATGTGTGTTCATTTCACTCTTTCATCCTTGTGCTCCCACTGTCTGATATTTGCAAGTTTTCATATTCTGAATGCAGATAAAGTAGAAAGTAATCTATCAAAAAATTTCACTTGGTTGAAGTTGACAATCACGTGATTCTCTTTGTATTTTTGTGCAGTTTTTTGTGTGTCATACTTTGGTTCTACATTCAGTTCATATAAACCGGTAAGTTTACTGACATGTCCAGACAACACACAGAGATGCAAAGTTTGCAAAGCACTGCAAATTCACTTTCTGCAGCAGCCTCGACAACAAAGAGGAAGTGAAACTAAAACTTTTTTTTCTGTGTACGCATGTGAGTGTCTGAGGACACAGACAGCTAGGAACACGGAGCCCCGCCTATTCCTCTGCTCTCATTGGCTGTGCTGTTGTCAAGCGCATTTAATACGAAAACAAACTGCTGCTCAGCCAATCAGGACAGAGCTCAAAAGTCCCTGACTAACCACAACATCTTATCAGTGACGACATCACAGGGCTCTTTAAACCAGACCGCAGGCCAAGTTTAAATGGCCTGATGAGACTGAACACGCCCAGCAAAACAACAAAGTTTCAGTTGAGTGTTCGGCAGTTTGACTGACAGGTGGCCTATAAAGACCTGAACAGGCTCCAGGAAAGGTTTATGACAATGACACCTTGTGGCAAATTTGACTACAATGAAATCTGAATTCAGAATTTCTACTAACAATATGACTCATAACAACTTTTGAATTGTGTCATTCACTCACACACACAAAACAAGAGTTAAATAAAGGAATTCTTGTGAAATAAATACAGTAAAAAAAAGCAAGTAAGCTAGTAAACTTTCTTTTTTTTTTTTTGCAAAAGATGCTGTTTTTTGCCTTTGCATTAAGGTACACTGGATTAAACAGCATACCTTTATATGGCTTTATGCTCACTGATTATAGTTCTCCATAAACATGAATGCAAGCTAGTATGTATGCTAATTATCACTTAAAAAGATTATCAGAAAGCCTTACAGATGCATTTATAAGACTTAATAAATGTGCTTATGAGGCTTATTGTTTCTTCCACCTTTTATATTGTAAGAATCGGTTCTTTAGTTGACTGCTCAAGGACAACCAGAGAAGTCTTCAGGTCCCAGATACACCTTTTATTATGTTCACAGGTAGAGTAATACAGCGCTGGACTCACAATGACAGAGCTCCTAGGATCTCCATCACAATGAGGGCCTATTTCTGCGTATAATTCACATTTTTCTTCTTCTCCAACGTGAACAGGCCAACCACTGTTCATGTGGTCTTACTAAAATGTGCTATGAAACAAGTGTGTGTTGACCATGAGGCGTGTATCTACTACAGCAAACCTTTTCGGCAGAATAAAGAAAGCTTTGTGGATCATCGGGTTCCTGCTTATCAAACTAGGCCTCACACTGTTCTGATTATAAATGAAAACAACCTGTGAGTAAATGAAAACACTCATTAAGTTGCATGAGTTCAGTGGGAAAGTATAAATCTGAATCTGAGGTGAACAGAGGACAGATCATGAGTTAAATGAGTTCAGTGAAAAAGTAAAAATCTAATGTTAGCAAAGTGAAAGACAATTATAACAAGATAAAAACATCTGTAGTTTACAAGTGTGGACTTGACTGATGTGACAATAAACCAAAAAGAGTGAGGTTGGTATATTTTCTAATGGTAGCATTGTGTTAGCTCAAAATTTCCCTTCGCAGTTTAACAGTTTTAATTTATAGCAACAGTCAAAGCGATCTTCTCAAGGATCCCTGGTGTATTTGAAAACATGCATGAATCCTTCTGGTAAACATGCAGAGGCATAAACATATGGGAAAACATGCAGGAATGCACAGAAGAGAGCAAGGCTGAGCATACGCAAAAATGTAATCAAAATCCCTGTGATTAACTTCACAAACAGATCATGTAATGTCCCAAAGGCTGGCAGCCTCTGCCCCATACCGCTGGAGCCTCATTTCTTACATGCTGTTTTTCTGGGGGGGAATCCAGGTGAGAGGGCAGAAAGCTTGTTTGTGACTTTGCAGAGGGGAAACTCCAGGATGTCCAGCCTTTGGGTGAGGGGTCACAGGGTGAGCGGTCAGCACGACTAACTCAGCAACCTCTATTTGTCTGAGGGGCTTCTGTTCCAGAGGACTATATTTATCCAGTCTGGAAAGAGAGAGCTGATAGCTGAAATAAACAGGGCACTTTAATGACCTCAGAGGTGAAAGGCTGTTATATGAGTATGAGCTTCTTTCCACGCTTCGGACGAACCTCAGGGTATTTTTAGGCTCAAATTAACATTGCGTCGAAGAAAATAAGTGGGTCATTGTCTTTGATTTGTGGTTTTGCCAACAAATTGAGTTAAATGTGTCACTGCAGACACAAATAAATTTCCATAAACTCTTTGAAATCACAATAACCAAGAAAACCCATCGAGTATGATCAGCATTTTCTCAGTGTCACTGAGTGTGACGAGTCTACTGCACATGACTCTGGGGTAATTATCCTTAACCTCAACCTGAAAAAATACAACAAAGTCTGATTCAGTTCCTTTGTTTTGAGGTCTTATTAGATGATATAGTTGCTGTTGAACATTCTCTCAAACAATCAGCTGTAGGTGTGTTTTATGCAGGTGGAGATAAAATCAGACGCACACGCAAGCACGCAGCAGGCCGACACACGCTCCTGAACACACAAACCTGCTGTGATGCACGTCCTCAATGGTGCGAGGAGAGTGTTTCCTGTATTTCCTGTGTTTTTTGGCTCGCGACATGTTACTGATCAGCTTTTATGTATGACAGTACACACCCCGCCTCCTGCTGCCTTTTAACTGTATACATACACTTCTGTGCTGTTCATGACAACGTGCTGACTTCAGCGTTTGTTTTTCTCTCTGACTCTACCCTGTACTTATCACTGTGAAGAAAATGTTTGCTCTCTGTATGTGCTCTGTCTTCCTGATGTGAGGAAAACCTTTACTTACAGTGGAGTGATTGATACTTACCATCTGTGAGTTGTTTGTTTGTACGGTATTTTTTAGTTTTGTTTAGAGTCTGATAACAGTACCAGTCTCTGATAAAGAGGAAACTACTCCTCAATAAATCACCCCCATACAAGCTGTGTGAACCCCCTCAAAAATCATGCAAAAGGTAAATAATTGGTATTTAAATTAAGCGTGATACTGGAGGAGGTGCTTGATATCCAGGGGCGTGTCCAGACAGGTGGAGAAGGGTGGCATGAACCCCTAACCCCTACTCTCTCACTGGCCACCCCAAAAATCCTACAGCTACATACCCTGTCAAGGACTGGACTTTGGTCAAGATCAACCATTTGAGACCAAACTTTCTGTTAGTACTTTAATTCTTGCTTTGGTCATAAAACTTGTTTTTCAAATGCTTTAAGAATTAAGCTTAGAAGAGTTATATGTTGCCCCTTTGCTGTGCTACTTTTTAGAATGAATAAGTTATTCTTTGACATACCATTAAACGCCTGCACAACACTTTTTTTGCTAATAGCCAAGACAGAAATGATAAATAAATACTATACATTCAACTTACTTCTTGGCACTTTTGCATCTGTCAAACAAGTCTGGACACGCCTCTATCAGCGCTGGCTACTTCCCATATTTAAGGATCAGTATCTGTTAAAAATTAAAATAGCAGGATAGCTTATACATGTGATGAAAATTTGTCACCCTTGGAAAGAAAACAATAAAAAGCAGATTTGCTTAATTGCATTATTGGGTTTATAAAAACAATTTGTGTTTGCATCGGCAATAAAAAAACCATAAAATCAATCATGCAGATGAAGGGAATGGAAAAGGAGAAGCTCTGTATAAGGCTGAGCACTAAAATCTGTTTAAATGAGTTCTGAATAACAACCGCAATGTCTCATTACACACCTAGTTTTCACTGGCAGAAACCTCGAGCAGGACCAGACTCATAGGTGGATACTGTGGCTATCTGCCTTGACCAGCTGAACTAGGAAGAGAAAAGGGAACAGGATAAGAGGAACAGATGGATGAGGACAGGGGAAATGTCAATCGCAAATGCTGAAGTAACAAAAAACGGATTTCACTACACTCCCTCACTTTTATAGAGATGCGTTTTGGCTCTCTTTGACACCTCAATCGACTGTGTGTAAATGTACAGTGACAGCATCTGAGCTTATCTAAGGGTGTTTCTCACATTTTCCATATGAAACTCCAGAAAATGAGTCAGGGTGAAAGTGTCCTCGAATGAGTGGGAACTTGGCACAGCACAATACCCCAACGACAGGAAAAGGCCTTGTAAACTCGGACCAGTCTGGCAGAGCTCTGTGTTTGCCCGGAGAGAAACACATTCTCACACTAAAATTTAGGGACGCCATTGTGCTCAAAAAAAAAAAAGGGTTAAAAGTCCGTCTCTGACACTAAAGCACCACAGAGGTGTCATAAATCTTTATCTGTGTAACTGTTAGTAAAGAAGAGATCCTTACGGTGAAAACAGAGGGAAATATCAGACTTTTTGATCTCGTTTCAAAGCGCTGGTCACAAACAGCTACACATCCTACTTTGTGCAGCTGAACATATGCGGTTCAAGAGAGTCGGAGCCCAGAGTGAGTCTGGGGAGCAGAAGAGGAAGTGAGTGCTTATGCGTGTGTGTGTGTACGGTTGTTTTTCTCTCTTTGTGAGAACCAGTTTGGGTTTCTACAGTGGGAACATTTTTATAAACTCACGTTGCTCCAGACTTTGAACATAAAGGCTTTGACTTATTTAAACTAGATTAAAAATGGTGCAAGAGATTAGAGTCAGGATTAGATTTGGATCATGGTTTTAAATGCATGCTGTGGTGAGGAGGGATTCGCTTCTGTTCTGTTGAAAGGTACAGTGTGTAATAGAGACATTTAGCAGAACAGACTTCATAGAAATGGAATATAGTTTGTTACATTTGTTTGGATTTGTATGCAATCATCTCAGTATAATAACTCTTTTGGTTTTGTTGACTTAGAATGAGGCTTTTATATCTGCAAAAGGAGTGAGCCCCCCTAAACTAGTAAAGGTCATATGCATTTTTGAATGTTATGAATCTGCATGTGATGAAGAATAAGAGAGTGGCTGCTGTGTGCAAAAGCATCTGAATTGAGGGATGTCTTTCATGATAAAACTGGACAAATGAAGAACATATTTATGTACTGCAGGATCTTCTTGTCCTCAAAAGTCATCATTGCAACATCAATGAGAGGAGTGAGCAGAGGAGCGTTTTTAACCACTAGATATTGCTAAATGTTCCTGTCATCCTGATAAGGATCTGACTCAGTCACAACAACATTATGAATCATGAAAAGTGCAACTACAATAAATAAAACTGTCTCCTGTTCATATTATTGCTCATTGTTTTGGTAAACTTTGAACAAGCTGAGCTCGCTGAGATGATCGATAATGTTGTCGGTAAACACAGACTTGACAAGAACTTTGTGTATTATCTCTTTACCCACTCAACAAACCGGGTCAGAGCTTTCCCACAAATTCAGATCTTTTATGTTTTAGTAGAAAAAAGTAAAAGTTATTCAGTTTTCTAGGTTTCTTTTATGAAGGCATTGGAAAACACATTACTTTTGACATTTCTGAGAGGATCACGTGGACGGTTACATGAAAACAAACTCCTTCTTGGTTTGGTTGAGGGTCAGATTACACAGAGCGAATATAGACAATCGCCGGCCCTCATAAGTATACTAATCCTGAGATGTGTATGTGTGTGTATGCACATATGGGAGGAAGAAGTCAGAGGAAGAAGGGAGGCGAAGGGAGGGGGTAATGTAGCTCTCAGCACTGGCTGCTGCCGGTTTGCGCTGCTTCTCGCCGGCCCGGCCTCACAGTGAGGCAAGTGGGGGGGCGGATGGATTGGGGTTTGGGGGGTGGGGGTCATTTAGCGCTTTGGCTGCCCTTCACAGCACTAAGAGCTTTCGCTGGGGCATCAGCTCACATGCCGTGTAGATATCTGTATGTAGAGAATGTATGCTGCAGATATCAGCCCTCCCTGTGAGGAGGATCAAGGCTGAGATACTCTGGCTTTTTATATAAAATCTGGCTCGTGACTCATACTTCTCATATGCAGAAAAACACGTGCAGCCATTCTTACTACCACTGTGTCATCATTTTTTTTTTTTACAGATTTCCACTTCTTTTGTCCAGACTTGAACTTTATTGACACAGTTCAAAAGAAGCAGAAGTGAGAGATGAATTATTGCAACTTCCGATGAGTCAAAAGTCAACACTAACTTTTGACAACATCAACACAAAAATCATGCAAAGATATGCAAAATTAGCCAGAACTACCTCTTCGTTGTGCACGTCTCTGAGGTTATAGTGTTGAAATGGAAATATTTCATCATTTCTAACGATCAGATTCTGCATTGAAATGGTCCCCTGCTCGACTCTTTGGTGGGTGAATCAGCGTCGGACCTTGTCACTGATTTCCCTGAACAGCTATTTGGCTCAAACAACTGCAGCAGCAGCAGTAGTCGAGTAGCTGCTGCATTGGTCACGTTTTGGAAAGAGGATGCAGAGCTAAGTTTTATGGGAGTGAGGCAGCCAGTTGAGTTTGTTTTTTCACACCGTCCACTGGACTGCAGCACAACCTTGAGCATGACATTTGCTCATTTCAGCTCTGTTGGTAGATGTTCATTAACCTTTGGTGTGATTTTGACTTCAGCTTACTTATAAGAGGCCTCTGTAGACTGGCCTAAATAAATTAGTATCTGGTAAATATGGGAATTTAATTCTCTTTCTATGCACTGAAGTGGATTAAGGTTACAACACAGGTTACGAGTCTCTCAGTGTCTGTTTCTGACAAGTTTTCTGATTCTTTAAGTTTCAATGGATGATTTTGGCAAGAAACTGCCTCTGAAAGAGTTTTTCAAGGATCTTTTATAGAAAAAAAAAACATGTTTCTCATCCTGTTTAAAAAATCAGCTAGCCTGTCTATAGACACATTATTTACATTTAACTTCTTTGGACATCCAAATATAATTCTGAATGTGGCAGAAAAAAAGTTGGTAGATTGATTGTCAAAGATTTTCTCAGTATGCATGAACTTTAAAGCAGTTCATTGTAAAGGAAATGACCTTAAGTGAGATCTTAAACCCTCCAGGGAATAAATAAATTGCAACTGCAGCATTAAGCAATGGAAAAACTAAGTATTACTGGCCCGCCTCTGTCCAGGTGGAACTGATTTCAGATGATGGAGAAATGTTGCCCTAGTATGCTCTACTTGGATTATATTGCATGTTTCTTCCAATAAAATGGATTGAAAGAGTCATTCAAAAATCATGCCTCTAAGTTTTTTTTAAACCGCTATTTATCTGCTGACTAAGCTTTCTATAGCATCTGCCAACTCTGACTCGATGTGATCATAAAACCTCGGATGAGAGCCGGGGTAGTTAAGTTTGCAGGCACTTGGCATGACCAAAGTATGGACACTAGAGTGCCAGTTTACTTCACGGGCGCTGCTGAGGTTCCTTTGAGCAGAAACCAAAACCTAACCTAACTATGTAGGGTGCTCATTCACTCTCACATGTCTCCATCAATACAATTCCAAAGAGCCTGTTTTATGCATGTATACATACTGTATTTTGGCCGATGAGAAAGTGTTGCATGTTCAATAATAAAGTGTAAAAGCTTAACTTTTCCCCCACATAAAGAGTATGTCTCTTCTGCTTTCTTCCACTGGCAACTGAGTTCTACAATAACATAAGAGTGTTAGAGGCAAGAGCATTTTGATCGACATCACTGAGGGATGCAAGGAAAATAGTTTGTTTCCCCACTTCTGCAAGCCTGGTGGTCAGTTTGAACTGCGAGTTTAGAGAAAGTTAAATTTTAATTTTAGTCTGACATGAGTAACTCTGCATCAGCTATGAGCCAAAACTCTGCAGAAGCATACACACGGCTTTAATGCTGATTGACTGAAGAAACCTGTGCCGTCACAATGCTGTCCTTGAGGCCGATGGTACACAGTGATCTGGATCTGATGTTTCTGCTCTGCCTCTGTACATGAGCAGGGCTGAGTGAGTGGGATCTCATATTTGTCGAATCATGTTAAAAGAGATACATACTGTATTTCAAATTAAGAGTTAGCTTGAATTAAGGATTCTCCTGCCCAGGGTCTTTGGCTATTTCATGCTATCAGTGAGAGGTTCATCATTTATCCTCAAGGCAGAGGGTAGAGAAAGTCAGTATGTTTACACGTTGTATAAAAAATTAGATTTCTTTTCTTAGTTTAACTGGAACTGGACATAAAAAAAAAAAAAAAAAAACGTGAACACATTAGTCACTACAGAGCTGTGAAAGTGACATACATCACCTCTAGCTTACATGCTTTACCGACTGTTTGGATATAATATGTCAACCAGGAGACAACCCGATTGTGATGGTGTGTAGGCGGCATGTCGCCACCTACTGTAGTGGAGGGAATCACACTATTATCAGTAATTTGGTTGAATTGATTACAGCGTCAGCTTCGTGATGCATTTTCTTTGCATAGCTTTAATGAAACAATCCAATTTTTTTCAGATGATGACTAAAAGTAGAAGAGTGTGAAATCGATGATAAAACTGACCTGTTAGAGTGAGTAATACAACTGGTATGAGACTGAACTGACTGATAGATATTTGTTTCTTCACTGTGATAGTAGAAAAGAACCATTAAGGATTTGACTCATGTGGAAGTACTGACTTAGTGGTATTGTGAATAAAAAGCGTGCACAGGAATGTGCCAGACGAATGAAAAACAAAAGTGTAAAAAAAGCATGAAAAAGAGCGTTCTGTGTCAGTGTCAGTGAAAGTTCTGGTCCTCATCAGCCGCACACAGCTGCCTTCAGTCACGCATAATAAAACTTGTGAGTCAGCATGGAGCAGTTACTATCTCACTCTGCCTGCAGTGAGGCTCCTGGCAGATTAATGGGGTGAGGTCAAAGGTCAGAAGTCTGGCCTCCAGCACTGCCTCCACTCCATCTTCAGTCGTCCAATGAGGGTGTTCTATCCACTAGGCTGGGGCCATCAAGCAGGATCTATTAGGGGCCTCTTGTCACATCCGGGGCCCAAAGAGATGAAATTATTACTTCCTAGAAAAGCAGGAAAAGTACTCTGACATTTTCAGTCCTATTTTCTTCTACTTCCTCTGGACTGATCTTCTTTATCACGATCTACACCAGTCACACCAGTCACGACAGACTATTCTGGAACATTCATTGAATTCATTAAACATAGATATAAAGTTCAGGTTTTTAAGGAAAGTCCATCCTCAACATACAACTTTCACTGTATATCCAATAACCTTACACAGCTATCCGACCACTACAACACATACTGATTCAGGACAATGAGATGTAGCAGCTCGTGTGACCAATGACGAAAGTGGTCGATTTTTTTTTCTGAGACTAACCAGATAAGAAAATGAGCAGTTATTAAAGCTCCTGTGAGGAACTTTCTGTCTGCACCCCCCTATATACAAAGCAGTCTTTTCTTAACTGAATAATCTTTTTGTCTAATTTCATCTTTCCATGGCCTGTTATGCTTTAATAACTTTCATTTCTTTTATTTCATTAACTTTTTATTTTTGCCTTTTTCTCTTTTTTTGTCTAAAGATTATCATCCTCAAATGTCTTTATCTTACTGCTCTTCTTTCCCAGTCCTCATTTTTCTTCATCCTTTTGTGTCCTCTCGGGTTTGCATCATACAGACTGACTGAGCCATTTAATCATTTTGTGTCTGGTCCTGCTTTTTGGCCTTGACATCCTGTTTTTGCTCTGTTTGTTGTCATAAAAATATAATTTAAGGCTTTTCTTTTATTGCTGCTTTTACTTTAAAATCCATCTACATTTGTAACATGTGACCGAAGTACTGATATGAAGAGAAATAGATACAAATGTAAAAGAATTCATTATATCTGAAAAGGGGAATGTTGGTTAATTTAATGCTTATATCATAACTTGTTTACGTTATCTGCCTCATGCTGACCCCTTCAAATGGAAAGTGAGGTAGAGTGCTGTAAATTAGCTGTGCTGTTCAGTGATTCCAAATTTGTTCTGATGAGCAAAGATCACTGGGAAAGTATTGCGTATTAATAGCATCCGTGTGATTTCCAGTGAAGACAGCAGACAGCGTTAGCAGCTCTAGGACAGTAAGTTTAGGACTTGGCAGCGGGCAGAGTCCAGAAATAGCTCCAGTTCTCATAAGCTGTGTGTGACCGATATCAGGCTGAGTCCATTTCGGAGACGAAGAACACCGCTGCCTTTGACCTCACTGCCCCTTGTTTATCAGGGTTTTATAACTGCTATCACCCACTAAAACCTGAAACCAAACGGCAGAGCAACCACAAGGCCCAAGCCCTTCTCAAATTTAGTATTCCTTTACTATGCTTTTTCGTTTTTTATAGTGTATCTATTTGCCTCACAGGAGTTAGTTAGTGTTAGTGCACTTTTTAAAAAAAATCGAAGATCACCTAAAAAACAAAGTTGCTTACATCCTTCCACTTCAAGGTATTTAAGCTAACGCCTTGTCTGGAAGGTGTTACACCCAGAAGAGTGATGGCGGGTCATCGTCTGATCCTTCCTCAGAGGTAGTAACAGAGGCGGGATGGAGAGAAGAAGGTGGCAATGCGTAGCGTCAGAGCCAGCTGCATGCATAAAACAGCTATGTGTGTGTAAGTGCATGTCTAAGTGTGTGTGTATGTGGAGCTCCCTCTGTGTGTTAATAAGCTCTGCCTCTCTCACTTGTGCACTGATGTAATGTGACGTGGTGTGGTGTGTAAGATTTAATGATGGCATCACTGTGCTCTGTTGCACTCAGTAAGTTCCACAATGTGCAGTTTCCCTGCAGCTGTGTAGCTTCTGTCTGAGTTTGAAATGTGATTTGAAATATGAAAAACTTTCTGGATGTTGTTTTAGAACATAAGAAGTGTAATTTGGGTTGTCTTGATACCTTGTAAGATATAAAAAGCTACAAAAAAGTGCTCTCTTGATACCCTTT